TTTTTTGGCCTGGTGTTGTTGTATTGATTCATTTTGTAAATCTTCTCCATCTTTAACTCTGTTTCTCCTTCTTTTGCCTCTCTGGTCTGTTTTCTTTGTTTTTTTCTGTTTCCTGAGTTTTTTTTTGTTGTTGTTTTTATTTTGTGTCCTGTCTGTAAAACACTTTGTAAACTGCTTTTTGTTTGTTTGTTTGTTTGTTTGTTTGTTTGTTTTTAAGCTGATGTTGTTATACAGTTATTATTACATGTAGTGGAGTGCAGCAACCTGACATGTAGGGGATGAAAGAACACTCATCTATAAGTGAACTACAAGTATTTTCAGCCTGTATTTATGTAGATAAACACTCTGGCATCATGTGAAGGTGTTTCTGAACCTACAGGCGATCTTCTCCTCCTTGCTCAGCTGACTCCAGGGTCCTTTCTCCTTCTGCTTCAGGTTCTTGTCAGTATCGGAGAGGACGTCTTTGTAGGCCCGGTCCGGCAGCGGGGTGTCCACCCGGTCCCAGTACATCGGCCGAGACATGTCCTCCGCCTGCGACACCTCTGCAGAGGAAACACAACGCTCAGTTTGTGGTTCTGCTCAGTCCTACACAGGATCCAACACAATGGATCCATGAACCAACTGTGTGTCTGTCTGGTGATGATGGTGCAGCAGCGCCACCTGCTGCCTGGACACACAGTGGCAGGTTGAACCACTTACAAACACACACATTAAACTGGTAACACTGGTAAGAGTTATATTTAACTTCAACTGGTGGATTTAATTAAAACTTCATCTTCATCTGCTGCTGGCAAACGTATTTCTAGGTTCTACATCTTCATCAACATTCTCCAGGTACTCAGCCTGCAGATAATGTTCCCACAACATTGCAATAAAGTTGTAACAATGTTTGGAAGGAATTTTAATCTAAAGTTCAAAGAACGTTTTAAGGATATTCATCAGTTCAAAAAATGTTCCTGTGAGGTTAAAAGTGAACTAAGATGGAATGCTTTACCATTCAGAGGACGTTTGGAGGATGTTGTCAGATTATGTTCCATGATAACAGAAGAAGAACGTTCTCAAACCAACATTCAGAAAATGTTATTGAGGCCTCAGAAGACAGAACGTGTTTCTATAAAACGTTCCTGTAATTAAAAACATTAACAAAGGTGGAACATTTTTCCTGCAAAATTCTAAGAACGTTTTATGGGCGTTGTTATGGAGAACGTTCTTCTATAAAACGTTCCTTTAATGTTACATGATAACAAAGGAAGGATGTTCTGAATGCAACACGCAACTTCATCCTGCCTTTGAGTGGAACATTTTGGGAACTAAGATAAAACTTGCTGCTAAAAACATGAATAGAACTTTCTTAGAATGTTTTTAGAACAAATAAATTCTAGCTGGATGAGCTTTACAGAAAAAGTGAACCATCAAAAACATCTAAACTACTTTTCAGCTACCAAACTGAAGCGTGGATGATAAAAAACCTCCCCGACAGTCAAACAGCTGAACGTCAGCTGATGAACTCAGGTCCTTCAGGAAACGTTTGACTTCTTCGTTCTTTCACAGTTCCTCCTGAGAGGCTGAGCTTCAAGCAGAGAAAAGGCCATGAACAGACGTGACGGTACCGTGGCCGTGGCTCGCCATCCTCACGCTGCTGCTGCTGCTGCTGGGCAGAGCTGCCGCCGCCCTGCTGGCCAGGAGGCTTCCTACCCGGCCGGTGCTCAGACGCAGCATCTGGAGACGACAAAAAAAGGCTCATTTATTCAGCTTAGTTTTATCTTTGCTTTACATAATACAGGCTTTTATTATTATTATTACACAGACACACAGCACAGAGAGAAAACACTGAACTCAGCAGCATCAGTCCGTCTCAAATCAGCACGTTTTTAGAGTCATTTCTGCTCAAATGTCTCCAAAAATTTTATGGCATAAACTATAAATATTCATAAAAAATACATGTGAAGCTCTGGATTGATACAGCAATGCTTTTCATAATAAGAGCATCTAAAAATCTGCCCTTCGACCCACTTTCTGCACATTTTTCTGCTCATTGAAACTTGAGGCCGTTTGAACGACAACATCTCAGAAACCACTAAAGATAAAAACCAGAACTTTTCACTGTTATTTCTCTTCATGTCGTTTACTATGAATCTGCAGCACTGAACAAGCAGGTCAAATAATCTCTGGATATGAGTGAGTCGAAATGAAATTAACTAAAAAAACTGACAGAGCAGAAGTGAACTAGTGATGTTTTCTGAACCACGTGTAGCTGCAGGTCACAACAACACAGAACTAAACATGTAGAATACGTTTAACCCTCATATACGTTAAACTACAGATTTATTCAGAACGTCTAAATAGCCGATGCCTCATTAATAAATGTAAATAAAACTTTTCACAGTTTCAAGTTTCCCTAAAAACATCTTCCTCGATTCGACCCACACTGGTGGATCTAAGTTATCAAATCCTCAGAACATCCTCAGAACATTGCAGCCAGAACGTTCCACCTCTGTTAATGAACCATGTTACAGGAACGTTTTATAAAAATCACCTGAGGCCTCGATGACATCTGGAGAACATTTTTTTTAATGTTAATTTAAGAAAGTTCTTCTTTTGTCGTCATAGAACATAATCTGACAACGTCTTCTGAACGCTGACGTTAAAACATTATATTAACTTTATAGGAACATGTTTGGAATTTAAAATATTCTCTTTGAACAATTGATTAAAACATAAAAAAAAAAAAAAAGGTTAGAACTTGCAGGTAATGTTCTACAACGCTGTTGTAATGTTCCCTGCCAACGCTCCTTTTACATGAGCTTTTATTTTGAAATTTGTAATGCCAGATCTGCCTTGTAGGAGGCTCATCTGTTAAATTACTGGTAGAAGTGTTGAGTTTTACATGAATTCAGTCATAGCATATAATACATTTAAGTAATAGTTTTATTTAATGGGCAACAAATGACTTTAACCAGAGCAGAGCCAACATGTGACGTGTTTTACTACAAAATAAATCATAATTTTAAGCTCTTGAATGAACAACAAGCTAATGAACAGTTCATTAAAGAGACAAAGTGAAACGCTGAACTATTTTATGACTCTTTCTGAATATCCGTTGCCCATTATGTTTAGCTGTGCAGCGTTTAATTGGCCACTGATTCTGTTTTAACCACCAACACCAGACACTAATGTCTCCGTTTGTTGTTGTTCATAACAGCGAATCCCATTAAGTTCTTTATCAGGTGTCTGGATGGAAGTCAAGTCTGGTCGCCTCGTTATCTGCTGCAGTTCAACAGCCAGAGAAAGAGAAGAGCGACGAGTCTGGAAATAAAACCTTTTAATCTTCATTAAGTGTTTCAAGGATATTTATCGTTTCAATTAATGTTCCACTGAGGTTAAAGGTGAACTAAGACAGAACATTCAGAGGACGTTTGGAGGATGCTGTCAGATTATGTTCCAGGATAACAAAAGAAGAACATTTTCACACCATTCAAAAAATGTTTTCCAGATGTCATCGAGGCCTCAGAAGACAGAATGTGTTTTCATAAAACGTTCCTGTAATTCAAAACATTAATAAAGGTGGAACATTTTTCCTGCAATGTTCTGAGGACGTTCTGGGGATGTTGTTTTTGAGAAAATGCTTCTATAAAACGTTCCCACAATGTAGCATGATAATAAAGGGGGATGTTGTCAATGCAGCATTCAAAAAACGTTTTCAGAACATTTTTCAGAGCATCTTTACAGAACTTTATTCTGCCTTTAAAAAAAACATTCTGGGAAGTGGAAGAAAACATCCTGCTGAAAACATCACTAGAACTTTGCAGAACTTTATCAGAACGTTTTTAGAACAAAACATTTTAATTGTCTGTAATGTTCTGAGGATGTTTTGGGGATGTTGCTGTTGAGAACGTTCTTCTATAAAACGTTCCCACAATGTAGCGTGATAACAACGGAACTATGTTCTCAAAGCAATTCATAATATGTTTTAATAACATTTTTTGGGGTTCTTTAGAGAACTTTTTTTTTCTTTTTTTCCATTTAGGAGGAACATTCTGGGAACTAAAAGAAAACTACTTGCTAAAAACATTACCAGAACTTTGCAGAACTTCCTCAGAATGTTTTTAGAACAAAACAATTCAAGCATTCAATTGCCTGTAATGTTCTGAGGATGTTCAGGGGATGTTGCTGGTGAGAACGTTCTTCTGTAAAACGTTCCCACAATGTTGCATGATAGCAAAGGAAGGATGCTGTCAAAGCAATCCATAATATGTTTTATTAACATTTTTTGGCCTTCTTCAGAGAACTTTTTTTCTTTTTTATCCTTTAAGAGGAACATTATGGGAACTAAAAGAAAACTTGCTGTTGAAAACATTATCAGAACTTTGCAGAAGTTTCTCAGAACGTTTTTAGAACACAAAAACTGAATTCAGAGAGCTGCCAGGTGTTTTGTTTTCTGCAGCTACAGACCTGCCGGATCACTTCACTGATTAGTTTAACTTTCACTTTCAGCTGTTTAAACTCTAATAAAAACCTGATTCTGTCCTGAGTCCTGAAAATCCTGTAAAAACATCCTCTAGTTTGAAACGTCCTCACTGCAGTGGTCTAAAACTGAAAGTGGTCCTCACAGAAGTGGCCACACACACACACACACACACAAACACACACACACACACACACACACACACACAAACACACACACACAAACGTCAGTGAAAATGGCGGAAATTGGCTGAGAGTCAATTTGAGCGTCCGAGCTGACCTTCTGATCGGACGGAAAGAATCAACACAAAGAGCTTTAATCACAGCTGCTGGAGGAAAAACACGAGTGCACAAAGAAACTTACTACAAAAATCTGATATTTTAGTGAAATGCGAGCTCTCAGTTGGAGGGTTTTAATCCAGGAATTGCACCAGACTTGCATGAAGACGTGTTATTAAGCACCACGTTGACTTCATTCTGTCTCTGGAGCCTTTCTTCTGCTTCATGTGCTGCACATTTGTGCATTTTCTAGAAATCTCTGAGCTCAATCTGTGTCTTTCCTGCACGACGGTCATCTGCAGCCCCCCGTGGGATCATAAGGAGGAGGGTGGTGGTCTTTCTCTTTTTATACCCCCTTTCATATCTCCCCCCTCTCTCCCTCCATGACACACTGCAGTCTGTTTATTTGCAAATACTCACAGTAGCCGTAGGATCGGAGGAAGCAAAAGTCTTGAGAGAGTTAAAAAAGACAAGTTTGGGCCTTCTTTCCCCGGTTCGTCTCCGCTCTTATCTCCACATAGCAGTAAGCAGGAACCAACTGGTGGGCGGGTGAGAGAAGGCTGGATGGGAGGGAGCCGAGGAGGGAGACGGACCAAACTAGTGCAAGTAAACAATCGAGGAAAGCATGTGATAGGACTGGCAGAAAGGGAGAGTGGGCCGAGTTTGGACTGCAAGGGAGGAAAAAAAAGAAAAAGGAGGCGACGCAAGGACACTTCCTCTGACTTGTGGTTCATGAGCTGCTCTTTGGGGTCACATGAGGACACGGAGGGGAGTTGCTTCCACAGGAGGCGGGAGAAAAGAAAGTGAGTTTGTGAAAATAAAAGAGAGAAAAGTCCCACAGTGTTGTTCTGAACCTCCTGCATGAATGCAGAGATGGCAGCAGGCCAGCGTTATCCCCCGGCAGCCTGGCGGTGAACTGCATGTGGTCCAACCGTCAGCTGCAGGGCTCCGGGTCGAGTCAGGACACATTTATTCCAAGTAGCAGACGGACTCAGTCATAGAAACCCCACACTGAGCCTCCAGCACACAGCTCAGGTACAATCGGCCTCCAAACATGTCTATTTATAGCCCTTTGCCAAACTATCGCCCAAACATTCACTCTGAGAGTATTTAGTTGAATCACAGGAGGCAGTCAGGTGCCTGCCTCTCATTGTTGTTATATAAACTCCAGAATACGTGCCGAGGTTCAGTCGCTCAGGAGTCCTGCCAACGCAGAGCAAAGTGCACGAAGGCCTCATGAATTATTGTCCAGTTTATGCTCCTCGATGCTCCACAACCCCAACCCAGATAAAGTCGGTGTGACATTAAAGCTACGGCCATTTTTAACCCGCAGGGCTGAAAGGTGAAAGAATGTTTCTCTAAAAACAACACTCAGAGTCAATGTTCTGGTGCTAAAAGCGTTCTGAGAAAGTTCTGCAAAGTTCTAGGGATGTTTTCAGAGGGAGGTTTTCTTTAAGTTCCCAGAATGTTCTTCTTAAAGGCAGAATAAAGTTCCCTAAAGATGCTCTAAAAATGTTCTCGACACATTTCCTAAATGTTACATTGAGAACATCTTTCCGTCGTTATCATTATGGGAACGTGTTGTAGAAGAACGTTCTCAACAGCAACATTCCCAAAACATCCGCAGAACATTGCAAGCAAAAAAAAAAATTGTTATTATTTAAATTACTGGAACGTTTTATAAAAACACATTCTGTCTTCTGAGGCCTCAATAATGTCTGGAAAACATTTTTAAAATGTCAGTTTGAGAACGTTCTTTTGTTATCATGGAACATATTCTGACAACAGCCTCCAAACATCCTCTGAATGTTAAAACGTACCATCTTAGTTCACTTACCAGGATCATCATTAATATCCTTAAAATGTTCTTTGAACATTAAATTTATTTATTTATTCCCCCCCCCCCCCCCCCCCAAAATGTATTAGAACCTGTAGGTAATATTAATCAATGTTTACAGAACGTTGCCTACTTGCTGGACCAAGCTAGAACTTATTCATTCCAAAAACATTCTGATAAAGTTCTGCAAAGTTCTAGTAATGCTTTGAACAGAAAGTTTTCTTTTAGTTTGCAGAATGTTTTTCTCAACGACAGGATGAAGTTTTCTAAAGATGCTTTAAAATGTTCTCAAAATATTTTCCAAATGTTGCATTGAGAACGTCCTTCCTTTGTTATCATGTAACATTGTGGGAACATTTTATAGAAGAAGGTACTCAACAGCAACATCCCCAGAACATCCTCAGAACATTGCAGGCAAAATGTTCCGTCTTTGTTAATATTCTTAATTAGAGAAACGTTTTATAAAAAACACATTCTGTCTTCTGAGGCCTCGATAACATCCAGAAAACATTTTTTCAATGTTCATAATCTGACAACATCCTCCAAACATCGTCTGAGTGTTAAAACGTTCTGTCTTAGTTCACTTTGAGCCTCATAGGAACATTATTTTAAATGATAAATATCCTTAAAACGTTCTTTGAGCATTAGATTGAAACTTTAAAACATTATTTTTACTTCTATGTAATGTTAGCCAATGTTGTAGGAATGTTCCCTGCTAGAAGTTTGGACGTTCTGAGAAAGTTCTGCAAAGTTCCAGTAATGTTTTCAACGTGAAGTTTTCCTTTTAGCTCGCAGAATGTTCTTCTTAAAGGCAGGATAAAGTTCTCTAAAGACACTATAAAATGTTCATAAAACATTTCTTTGTGATCATGTAACATTGTGGGAACATTTTATAGAAGAACGCTCTCAACAGCAACATCCCCAAAACATCCTCAGAACAATGCAATCAAAATGTTCCACTTTTGTTAACATATTAAGTTCACTTGTAACCTCATAGGAACATTATTCGAAATGATAAAAATCCTTAAAACGTTATTTGAACATTAGATTAAAACTTTACTACACTATTAGAACTTGGAGGTCAGGTGAGTGAGCGTTGTGGAAACGTTCTCGGTTCCCGGTTGGGCTCACTAAAACGTTGTGAGGAAGTTGTAGTCATGTTTTCTTTTACTTGAAAGTAAAATTCTTCGATGCAACATAAATATTTCATTTTCTCTCATATTTAACAAATCGGGTAAACCTGGAAAAGACGCCACCTTTAAGAACAACATCTTCTCTCAACTGAAATATAAATTTAAACGGTAATTAAACTATGACAGACTACAGCTTTAAAAAGTAGATCATCTAACCTCACAGCTCACTTTGATTAATACAAACTGACTGTGTTCTTAAAGCGTGAATGAAAAACTGCAGACTGAACCTTTATTCAGGTTTTACTTCCACATACGTCCACTAGAGGGCAGCAGCGCATAAAGCTCTGGAGCAGCAGGAACAAGTTTGTGCATCTGAAACGTTAACAAGGGTCTCGTCTTTGTCAGTTGAAGCTGAACAAAACCAAACGTTTGTCCTTCTGGGTCTAATCCAGGTCGGATTTCATTGCTCCAACCTCCATTTATTGGTTCTTTAGGGAGTTTTAGGTTTGCATGTTTCAGGACTGATCAGAAGCAGGACAGCTGACTTCATTCTGTTAAATCCACCGGGTCTCTTAGTCTTATAGCATATCTGGTATTAAACATTAGCAGAGTTCAGAACACAGACCGGTGGCAGATTAAAGTTCCCAAAAACACTTTAACTTTAAATTTAGTCCCAATAAAACACAAGCAAGAGAATCAAGTCTGACCCATTTGAACAGGTTCCACAGTGATGAAGACAATAAATGTATTACTAGTGTTTTGGTCACATAAACACATCAGAATACTGTTAAATACACATCAAGGTATGAAGAGTTTCCACCAGAACAATCTGAATATTCCAACAGATCCATGGATTTGTTTGGTACCACCAAGGAATTAGTCAAAACTTCATGACAAGTCTCCGTTAAACCGAGGTTCATGACTACAAAGTTGGTCTAAAAACTAAAAATGTGCTTATACTGTAAAAACTATGTTCTTCGTTATATTTGGAGAACCATGTTGAAACTCCAGAACTGTGCACGACTTAATCTATGGATAATGTTGTGGTAGAACTTGTCAAACCTGCACAATCGGTCATGAAAGTCAAACAACTATAACTTGTTTTTTGTTGTTGTAAGTATTCTGTTTGTTTTTGTTGTGACCTGCAGCTAAACGTGGTTCAGATAATATCACCGGTTAACTTCTGCATTATTAAGTCAATAGTTAATATGAGTTCTCACGAAGGCTTCAATTTTTTTTTTTTTTCATATTTCAACTCAACCATAATCAGTGATTATTTGATGTATTTGTCTAATATTGTAGATTCTGAATCAATGATGAGACGAGAAATAATAGTGAAAATTTCAGGTTTTTATCTTCTTTACTTCCTGAGATGTCGTCGTTCAAACAGCCTCAAGTTGCAAAAAAGAAAAAAAAAAAGGTGCTAAAAGTGGCAGCAGGTGATTTTTAAATATAATTATCTAGTAAAATATTTCATATATTGATCTAAAACCGCACAAACATCTTTATTAATATCCATTATTTATGCTCTAAAGGTTTCAGGTTCATTAGAAATGGTCGAGCCAACATTGTTTTGAAGAATATGATGATGTGAGCTTGATTTCGTTCACTGTGACTCATCCTTCAGCCTCCAGGTTTAATGTGAGAAAAAAAAAAACCTGCTGAAACTGAGTGACGTTTTTATTTTTTAACGGCTTGGAAAGTATTCGATATATTGGTCTAAAATTTCACAGATACCGTTTTAAATGCATAAACGTTGTTGGTTTTTCCTTCAACCTGCCGCCCTGCTCTGTGCTGCTGCTTCCATTCTCTGTTAAAGTAAATAACTTTTAACTGCGTTGTTAAACCCGTCGTGTGCCTGATAACTCATGAGCTCTGAAGGCGCTCTCGACTATAAATCTCCTCCTTTTTCTACACATGTAATGTTTAACACAGATGCGTCGTCTGTCGGCGTCGTTAACGAGCCCGTTTGGTTTCATTTTTCACTTCTGCACAAAGCTTCCAGAGCAAAGAAACATAACTGCAGATTTTCCAGAAGCGCAGCCAGAGCGAACCTCGCAGACGGTTGGAGGGCTGGAAGTCGGGCTCGGTGAGGCGAGGCGTTGTTTTTCTCTGCAGACAGAAAGCTGTCAAACAAGACGGCAGCTGCTGGTTTAACACCGACTCAGTAGGGCACGCGTCCCTGATTCATTTATGGAAATTAGGTTTGGACCGTGACGGTGCAGAATCCACACAAATCCTCCTCCTCCTCCTCCTCCTCCTCCTCTGTTTGTACTTTATCTCCTGCAGGCTTCGGCCTCGCTTTGACCCCCGGCCGACCTCTGCCGTCCCAGTAGGATTGGAGATGTTTCGCCGTCTCTCTTGAGGAAACGTTGGCCGTTCGTCATCCCTCCCCTGCCCCTTTGTTCAGCCCCCTTTTTTTTTATTTCTAACAATAAAGCAGCAGAAAATGAGGATTGAAGGGAGGGAGTCAATCTGGCTGCTTCAAACGGGCCCAACGGCAGCTTTTCTCCCGCGTGTTTCCCATCTGACGCCCCGACCAAAGACCCTGATGGCTGTTTTGGGGGTTTTCGACAGTGAGCGTTGCTTCGTCACCGGCGTTCGTGG